TATATAAAATTGTAAAATCAAGACTAAGCACTGTAAAAATAAACTGCATAAGGGCCAGGGATTTAGCTCAGTGGTTCCAGCGCCTGCCTCGCAAGCACAAGGTCCCGAGTTCAATCCAAAATGCATGAATAAATTCATGAATATCTTTATTTATAAATTAAGATAGTAACAGTCCAAGTTTTATGACTATAATTTCAAGATACTTTGTACAGAGTCTGTTGCCTGTCACTTATATTAGTTTTATAAAAGTACTTAGTAGGCCCTGTGTCCAATCCCCAGCAATGAAAAACAAAAAAACTAATTAAAAAATAACAGAGATAAACAATTCACTATCTATCTGAGGACAGACTTGATTAATTTCACTTGCCATCTTTCTATAGAAACTAATTTGTTAAAGTCAGTAAATTAATGCTATATGGTATCTCTTATTTGAGTAAGGCAAAGTACAAAGAGCATAATAAAGGATAGAAGGAAACAAGAGAAAAGATCTCTTGCAAATGGGAAGGGGGTCTAGGAGACTGGGCTCGAGAGAGGAAGAGGGGAACGTAAGAAGAATTAAAATATGTGATGTACAGGAACCTAATAACCTCAGTGAATGTAAACGTTATATGTCATAAACATGAGCTAAGAATAATAATAACAACAATAAAAATGAAAATGGCAGAGGGAGGGAGAGGGTGGAAAGGGGAACAGGATGAAAAAAAAGAAACAAACTGTTATGTACATGTACCTACTCGCCAAGAGCAAACTTCGTATATTACAAACACGTACTACTAAAATAAAATAAAAGTAAATAAAAAGTCAGTAAATTATACCATATATATTTGGGGGGTGGCAGTACCAAGGAGTAAACCCAGGGCATTTGCATTGAGCTACATCACAGCCTTAGTTTACATTTCTATTTTGAGCCATGGTCTTCTTTAGTTGCCCAGGCAGGACTCAAATTTAGGATCTTTGTGCCTCAGCTTCCCAGAGTTCTGGGATTACATTTGTTTGCCACTACACCTGGCTCTAAAGTTAAATTTTATACCTCGTTTTTCCACCCTAAATTTATATAGAACCACAAGAAACCTAAAATAGCAAATCCAACCCTGGGTAACAAAAGCAAAGCAGGAGGCATCACAATCCTGGATTTGAAGTTACACAACAAAGCTACAATGATAAAGAAAAATAGCATAGTACTGGCATAAAACGGACATGTAGATCAATGGAACAGAGCAGAGGAAGCAGACACAACCCTGGGCACATCCATTGACAAAGGGGCCAAAAACATACACTGGAGGAAAGAGAGCTTCACTAATGAATAGTGCTAAGAAAATTGGCTATCCACATCCAGAAGACTGAAGATAGACCCTTACATCTCACAATGTAGTAAACTAAAAATCAAAATGGATCAAAGACCTAAATGTTAAAAGAGAAACAGTCTGCTGGAATATAAAATAGGTAAAACTCTAGAAGACATAGGGGTAGGAAAGGACTTTCAGAACCAACTCTGATGGTACCAAGTATCAACAAATGACATCATATCAAATTAAAAACTTTAGCACAAGCAAAAGAAACAATAGAGCAAAAAGACTACTTACAAAATGGAAAAACAATTTTTCCAGCTATTCCTTGGACAGAGGACTAATCTAAAATATATAAAGAACTCAAGGGCCAGGGATTTAGCTCAATTGTGCCATGCCTGTCTCGCAAGCACAAGGTCCCCCCACCAAAAAAACTAAAACACTTAGATGCCCCTCTCCAAATAAAAGACCCAATCAAAAAATAGGAACTGAAATGAATAGACACTTGTCAGAAGAAGTACAAATGGCCAATAAATACATTTTAAAAAGTTCAACATCATTGGCCATTAGAGATACACAAATTAAAACAGTAAGATTCTGTCTTACTCCAGAAAGAATAGCTATCATCAAAAAAATCAAATAACAACAAATGCTGGTGAGGCTGCAGGGAAAAAGAAACCCTTCTACACTGCTGGTGGGAATATAAACTAGTATAACTAATATGGAAATCAGTATGGAGATTCCTCAAAAAACTAATACTAAAAATTCCATTTGACCTAGTAACTCCCCTTCAAGGTATCTTTCTGAAAGGGTTAAAAATATCATATTACAGAGAGACATGCATATCCATAGCAGCCAACTCATAATAGCTAAATCATGGAAATGGCCTATATGTCTATCAAGGGATGAATGGATAAAGAAATGTGGTACTGTATTTATACATAATGGAGTACTACTCTGCCACAAAGGATAAACTTGAGTCATTTGTAGGTAAATGGATGTATCCTGAGATCATAATATTAAGTGAAATAAGTCAGACACACAAGCTTAAATATCACATGGTTTCTCTTCTATGAGAAACCCAAAATATAAATAAAGAGCAAAGAGGAAGTAAAGAGAACTTTTTCAAATGGGAAAGGAAACAAGAAATGGACATGAAAAAAAAAAAAAGAAATGGACATGGTTGGGAAGGGAGGGAAGGAGGGAAAAAAAGAATGGGGAGGGGAAAAAATGGAGATAGAGCTTTTGCAGGACCAAGAGATGTTCTGGACCAGAGAGGGAGGGCAAGGGTAGAGAATGAAAAAAGAACTAAGATGTGTTATGTACATGTACCAATTCCCAACAATAAATGTAACCATTAAGTACTAGAAACATGTACTAATAAAAAATTTTTAAAACACAAGTTAAAAATTTTTATACCTCGTTTTTTAGCCTCAGCCACCATCTCATCATATTCTTGTCGGTGACGTAAAGCTTCTTCCACAGATTTAGCAGGAAGATTTCTGGGAAAAAAAAATCCACTTGGTCAAGCCAATTTCTAAAAGATTAGCATTTAAATTACATACTATTTTTCAGAGCTACATCCAAAATTGCCACCTCATCTTCTCATTTCATACATTAATAAAAAGAAACCCATAAAAAACCCCTGCATTTTGGAAAAGAATCAGAATCCAGGTGCCTAGTATTTGTTGTTTGTATTGAACATATATTTCATGTTTCTATAAATTTGTGTATAAACATTTTATATTTTACTCAATATTTTAAGTTATTTATAAACTCACTAGTTTGTTTAGTCAACTTTTTTGAAGTATAATTTATGTGCAAACAAATGAATACTTATTTAAGAGTAGTCTGATGAGTTCTGACAAATGTATGTATTTGTGAAATCAACACACCGATCAATACATAGGAACATTTCCTTCATACCACGAAGTTGTGAAGTATCTGCTCCCATATCCTATCTTTTGAAATCACATCTCTGATTTCTATAACTATAGATCATTAGTTTGTTGCCTTTAAACTCTTGTGTCTGACGGGTCATTCTCCAGAATAGACCACATGCTAGCTCATAGGATATGTCTAAGTAAATGCAAAAGAATAGAAGTTACCTGCTGTATATTATCAGACCATAGTGCAATAAAATTGGAGATCAATAACATAAGAAACCACAAAACCCCAAAAAACACATGGAAGCTGAATAACACCCTCTTGAACAACCAATGGGTCACAGAAGTAATTAAAGAAGAAATTAAACAGTTTCTACGAGTAAATGAAAATGCCAGTACAACATACAGGAATCTGTGGGACACATGAAAGCAGTTCTACATGGGAAATTCATAGCAGTGAATGCCCATGCTAGGAAAACAGAGAAAACTCAGATAAAGAACCTAATGCAGAACCTCAAGCTCCTAGAAAAAGAAGAGCATAACGAATCCAAAGCTCATACATGAGAGGAAATTATAAAGATCAGGGCAGAAATCAATACAATGGAGACTAAGAGAACAATACAGAACAATACAAAAAGATCAATGAATCAAAGAGTTGGTTTTTTGAAAGAATAAATAAAATCTAAAAACCTTTAGCCAGCCTTATCAAAAAATGGTAAGAAAAGGCACAAATACATGCAATTAAGAATCAAAAAGGTGAAGTCACACCAGATCCAACAGAAATCCAGAG